GAATTATAAGTAGCCTTGAATCACTGTCATAGAAATAAAGAAAAACTACTTCAGCAACAGGTATAGATTCATGAGTTGCCAATTTTTTTTTTTTTTTTTTTTGGTCAGTGCTGTTGTTTTCTATAGACATATTGAAAACTGGGGAATATAGTTATCTGGTAGAAGAATTTTCAGCCTTCTTTAACACTGGTGATAATGGTGACAGTGTTTCTCATAATTTTGAATTTAAGCTCTTACCTCTTTTGGAATGACTAGAAAAATGAAATCTTATTCTTTGCCAGTACCTGAGTGTCTTCACAATGTGAACAAGTCTGAGTGGATACTATTCCCCCGGGCTGCCACTGCTTAATTTCTTCATCTTGTTGTGACTGCTGAAGTAGGTTAGCAATAGGCCTGTTCTGTTATGGTCTACTGAATTGTGCTGCTCTTGTTCTTCTGTCTTTTTTTCTTGCTACAATATATTGTTAATGTTGCACACAGTCACAGAGCCACCAGAAACAGTTTTCTTCCTCATCTTTATATTCTACTGTCTTCCATGAGAGAGGAGAGAGGCAGCCTAGGAAGTAGGAAATTCTAGAGATTCTTAAGATGAATGTTAGAAAGTGTGGTTCGAGAGACTTATTCTAGCTACTGTATAAATTTCTTTAGGGCTAGTAGCTAATTTTTGTTAAAAGCAATACTGCCCTCTGGTGCCCAGAAGGCAATTCCAACTCCTACCTTCATCAGTTAAAGTGCTTATTTTATTCTTATGGTTTAGACTCTAGAACCTTTCAGAAAATTAAAATAATTATTTAATACTTAGTTTAGTTTAGTTGCTGGCACAAAGTCCATTGTGTCAGTTATCCTGGAATTAATCTAGCATCAAGAATTTGTTTACTACCTATTTGTTATATCCAGGGTATTTAAAAAAAATAAATATTACTTTTCTCTGTTTATAAGGACATTGTTTCCAATCCTTAAAATGTAATACACTAGCTCGCTGACAACTTTAAAAAGATAAACCATTATTCTCTTTCTTTCACTTTTCTAACTGATGTGTCATTTTTCATTTCATTCTGGATTTGAATCGTAATTTCTTTTGCCTGTGTTTTTCTTCACAAGCATGCCTTTCATATCATGATAGAGGTAAGATGCTTTGATGTTTGTTTATGGTTGTGAATTTTTGTGGATGCATATTAAACATTTGTCCTTAGACTTTGGTTATTTTTTTTGCTTTACTGTGCATCCTTTATATTTTGGACATTTATGTTATAAAGTCCCCACCACCACCACTTTTAATATTAAAAACGTGATCAATTTGGCATAGTAATAGCTTTTGTTTTCAGGCATTGTTATCACTATTTATACTTATCTAAGGTAGAATGAAGAACCAATTATTTTACTTGATTGGAAGTTAATACCTAATGACTCCATTAGCCATAAAAACTTTACATTGGTTAATTTTTATAGTGTGCCATTAGCTTTAATGTAAGCATGTGCTTATTTTTAACAGGAGCTGACTTTCTAGTTCAACTCATTATCTTTTAATATGAAATCTATATTTTTAGATAGTTTCATCTTTGTCATCTTTAGCAAATGAACTAGTTATAGAAGTAAAACTTTTGGTAATCTTTTGTTGTGTGGTAATCTTTTGTTTAAAGCTGCAATTAGGTTAAGATTTGAATCAGTTCTAATTTAAGTGGAAGACTCAGAATAAGTACAGTGATCACAGATGACTTTGTAGCTCCCCACTTACTGTGATGTGTTCCAGTATTGCTCATAGTGATGATAACTGGGTAGTGGTGCTGGTGGCAGGAGGACTGTTTCCAGTTGTCATTTCAACGTGCTGTTTTCTCATACCATAATTTTCACATACAGACAGGTAAGGAAGAAATGTAATGAGGGTCATGTTCTAAAACATATTTTTTTAGTGTTATAAAATAGGTGGATATTGCAGGAGAACTGGAAACTTAGGGAAAATTTTCAGGAATTCTGAAGTTCTTGTATTTGGCAAACCACCCCACACCCCCACCTCGCCACCCTGACTGGTTTCTCTGTGTAATAGGGCAAAGCTGTGTTTTTTGGATGGCATCAGAATGTTGCTTATATCATTTATGAAATTTAAGTTGAATTTGCCTCTCCAAGGGTTCATATATTTTTTAAATACACATTTTTAATTATAGGCTAAAATATTGAGTTTTGTGGGTAAATTACTGTAATGATGCTGATTAACTAAAAATCATTTCTCATATTCTTTGGTAATAGAATAATTAAAATCTAGATATTAGAGGTATAAAGCTTAATTCTAGTGATTTTTCACTAAAAAGGCAAAACGGTTTATTAATTAATGTTACAGGTTATACAGTTATAACCTGTTCTACAAAGTTACTCATTTTTGGATTCAGTCCTTTAAATATTAAAGAATATTATTTAAAATTATATTTAAAAAGTTTTATCATTTCTAAAAGTTTTGACACTATAGGAACGAGCCATTGTGGACCTTTATTCTACCTTTTGAAATTGGCAAGTTTTCTTTTCCATTAAAGCTTTTAACTTTTGAGTAGTTTTATCAATGGTGCTTTTTCTGGTTGTTATGATACAATATTGAATATAATTTTAATTGTAAAAGAACGATTTAAAATTTTTTTCTGAAATAATGGTAGCTTAGAAACTTACCGAACAGAGTCTTAGAAATGTATGGGAACTTGAAAGTTTATACATTTGGAAAACATTCTATAAACACTTTTTTCTAAAAATATACATTGAACATTATTATATGTTTCCTAAAATTTTAAGTTAATGTTAAACTAAAATCATATTTCAAACTGCTGACATAGTCTTAATTGGAGATATGGATTAAATTAATTTAAATTCAATTTTATAGTTGACTTATATCCATGTCATTGGCATGGACACATAGAATAGAACAGAGAACGTGTATATTGTCTAGAGATACATCACCAGTCAGTTTATATAAAAGTTATTAAAAATTTTAGTTTTTAGGGTTGTCACAGTGGCTTATGTCTATAATCCTAGCACTTTGGAAGTCAAGGCAGGAGGATCATTTTGTATCAGGAGTTTGAAATCACCATGCATAATATGGTGAGACTCTGTCTCTACAAATAAAGATAAATAAAAATCTTAGTGTTTTAATTTAGAACCATGTGACCTCTACCAGGTTATTTTTCCTCTTCAGCTTTTAGTGCTTATCTGTATAGTTTAGTTTTGGGCATCCTTGATTTGAAATCTTGACCTTTCTAACTTTTTCTATTTAGTTTAACTATTTCTTTATGCAATTATACAGTAATTCTTGGGTCTCAAGGACTGAATGGTTTTCTTTGCCTCTAGAAGAGTAGTTTTTAAACTTCCCCTTTCCCCGTTTCCACATTCACATAAGTAGCCTGCTGCTGTTAGTAGAATTTCTTATGATAGGTAGAGATGGTTAGTTGAGGAATGAGGATGGGAGGGTGTAATTTTCATTGAAACTCTCCAGAGATTATTGGGCTCTTTGCACTGAGAATCACACTTGACAGCCCTGCCTTCCGAGAAGATTTATATCTGACCTTCTTGACTTGTCACTCAGCTAAAGGAAAACACTGTAACTTTATAAACCTTTCAGGTTTTGAATGTGGAAGGAAAAGCAACTTTTATAGACATTTTTAAAAATAAATATCTGAGTTTGAAATGAGTCACAGGAAGTCTTCTATTTTATCTTTGTTTTAAAATAGGAATTCTCAAGTCATTTTGTAAAGACTGTCTAGTTTAGAAGAAGAAACTGCATGTTTTCCCTATGTAATGCCTTGCAGTTTATCTGTTGTTGAGGGTCTTTCTGATGTGGAATAAGCCTTTTAAATTCCTGAGTGGCACCAGTGGTCTGATGAGGCCTGAACAAAGCACTGTCCTTGAGGTATTAGATAAAAAGAAAGGGAGAAGAAAGGCAGAGAGAGATGCATTGATCTGGAGTGACATGTCATTTCCAAGTGTCTCAGGTGCCACCCATTGTCATCTTCTTGCCACAGAAATTTTAGTTCTTCTCAGTACTGGTTATGCAGCCCTTGAAACATTTCTGGTGCTTTGCTCTGGAAGCTCTCCAAAAGCCTCCCTCCGTCTTGCTTTAGTTGCAGATGATGAACTGATTAGAATGCTTTCAGTGGAGGTTGCCATTCTACTTGGACAGAGGATCCCCTGGTGACTTGGAGATGTTGTTCTTCTGTTTCTGTACAGTATTTATTCTTTTTTTTTTTTTTTAAACTATAGCAGTGTACTTTTCTTTCATTTACCATACCTTGGTATCTACTACATGACCGCTTTTCTGGATGCTTATTTGTACATTCTTTGACAGTTTCTGAACACAAGTAACTTTAATCTCAGATCAGTTTGGGGAAATAGTTATAAGCAAGGTCATGAATTGTTGGTTAATGTGTTGAAAACTTAGAACAAATAAAACAGTTTGGCTATAGCAATGTTAACTTACATATTTCTTTTCATACTTTGTATTTGATAATGCCTCTTTGCAATGTGTTTATGAATAACAATGGGTATTTCTGAGATTAATGAAGAAAAAATTTGAACAGTCATTGGAGAAAGTGGTGGATTTAAGGAGAATCTTTGAAATACAAACATAATTTTCTTTTTCTGGTACTTTTAAAATCCTCATCCTCTAAGAAAGTATATACTGGATGAAACCAATGAAATACTGTTGGGAGTATTGTAAAGTTTACAGAATCTTAGTGGAAAAATTAATGATACTGGATGAAAAAGGTTTTCTCCTGCTATGCCTTTATAACAGTGGTGCTGATTGTTATGGGAACTCAATTCAGGTTGTCTGCCTTGTGATAAATTAGCAATGCTGAGAACTCAGTTCTGACAACGATTGACATTATTATCATCTATATGTGTTTACTGTTGCTGCCAGTTGATTCTTCAGTATACTTTTTCTTTAGTATACTTTTTTTCTCATTTTCAGAATTAATGTGTATCATATTCTGCTTATTTACAGTATTATTATTACTTATCTGTAGGACCCAGGACCACCTCCACCTTCTCCATTACTAGGTTTGAAGCCCCTGCAGTTATTAGAAGTTAAAGCAAGGGGACGATTTGGTTGTGTCTGGAAAGCCCAATTACTCAATGAATATGTGGCTGTCAAAATATTTCCAATACAGGTATGTTTATTATAGTTTTGTAATCTGTGAATATGTTTTAAAAGCTTTAACTGGAGGGCCATAATAACTTAGATATAGTCTGAGTAAATATAAGCAGTGTGTTTCAAGGTGGTTCTTTGTGATAACTGGGACAGCACTTAGTCCATCTATTGTGTGCCTTCACATCTGAGAAATGGAATTATTGATACAAAAATTATAATGTTTAGAGTGGTGCTGTTAAAAAAAGGATGTATAAGAGATCTCTTGCCAATACAAATTCTATAGAAATGTTATATAAAGATGAGGATTCCAATTAAAATAGCCCTCATTGTCCGAGTGGTTAAATTTTAATATTTCATTGACATTATCAGAATAAAACAAACACAATGGTGAAAAGAATAGTGTGCTTTGTTTTAGAATGGCTATTTGGAGGTATATGATCAGACTTGGATTTATTTTCATTTTGCTTTCTGTATTTATGTAATCATTTCCGTTTTTACTTGGTGCATCTTTAGAGGCAGTGAATCAAGACTCCGTATAATTGGTTTACTGTTGAATTGTTTTTGTTTTAAAGGTGACTGGACTTCTCATAAAACCCTGATCTAATGCACCTCTGAGCTGTTCTTGTGTTTTGTTTTGTTCCATTGGTGGTGTAGATTTATGAGGATTCTGTCTTCCCTGTGTCTTGCTTGTGGATCCCTGTGGCTAATGATATCTTTGGTACTGAGGTCCAGGCTGGATTTGGTAGTACAAGCTCTACCATTACATCTAGACAATAGATATTACTTATTCCAGAGTTATCACAAAGCAGTTTCTTGGTGTTATTCTACCTAAATTTTAGCCTTTTTACCTCCTTTAAAGCCTGTTTCATAAAGTCTGTGAAGTTTATTACTTTTATTATTTTATTGGTAGCAGTGCACATACTGTAAAATATAGTTCTCAGAGAGTAAGTATATTCTTTTGTGCCAAGATTCCTAAGATTAGATTGTTAATTTTATGTGTAAGGGGTCTTAAAAATTAGAGAAAGTCTTTTAGATAACATTAAGAGTAGTGACAACACTAGTAGCTAACATTTTATTGAACACTTGTGTCAGGTAGAGGTGCTTTAAAATATATGAGTACTCACTACTAATACGTGTTCTAACACAACTATACTACAACAACCTTATGAGCCAGACACTCAATCCTTGTTTTACTTAATGAGGAAACTGAATGACTGATTATGTAACTGCCAGAGATTTACTGGGAAAACTGGGATTTAAATTTAAATAGTTTGGATCTAGAGGGTTCTAAACCATTATGCCCCCACTATCATTGTCCTTTCATAATAATAAGAAACTCATCTTTTGTAAGTAGTAGTACTTGGATCACTTGCAGGCACAAATGAGTATGTGATGTTTTTAAGTATTGTATTGTATGTTTATGCCCTTTGTTCTTTCATTGACTTTGCAAGATATGCTAAACATTTTTTTAGGAATGTTTGATATTATATTAGATTTTGGAAAAAATGTTTTCTACTTAGAGGAAGTCATTCTACTTGAATTTCATCTTTCAGGGAGATTATTCCAACTAGTAACACATACCATGTAACTTCATACTATGATAAAATTACAGTATAATACTTGGGATAACTTATAAACAGAGTGTGTTGCCATTATAAGGTACAGAAGTGCAGCATTTCTGATCAACTTTTGTGTTTATGAACTGGAAACAAAAGTATGTTTTTAGGAAATGGGACAGGGCAGGCCTTTAGTATGGAATTGTTGCCTATTATTAGAGCTTTCTCATTAACAAACACAACAAAACTAGAGAATTTTTTTAATACTTTATTTTTTTGTTTGCTTTAGAACCTTTTTGAGTAAACCCTTAGACGTTGTTTACCTGTATTCTTTTTGTCCTTACTATTCTTCCTTTCTGACTCTAGGACAAACAGTCATGGCAAAATGAATATGAAGTCTATAGTTTGCCTGGAATGAAGCACGAGAACATATTACAGTTCATTGGTGCAGAAAAACGAGGCACCAGTGTTGATGTGGATCTTTGGCTGATAACAGCATTTCATGAAAAGGTAAAACTAACAGTTTAGTAAAATGAAAAAATAAAAAGAGGGCAGACTGTAATCCTAGCACTTGGGAGGCTGAGTCAGGTGGATCGCTTGAGCTCACGAGTTCTAGACCAGCCTGCGCAAGAGTGAGACCTTGTTTCTAAAAAATAGCCGAATTCTGTGCAGGTGCCTGTAGTCTTGGCTACCTGGGAGGCTGAGGCAAGAGAATCACTTGAGCCCAAGAGTTTGAGGTTTCTGTGAGCTAAGATGCCACGGCACTCAAGGAAGGTTGACCAAGTGAAACTCTGTCTCAAAAAAAAAGGCAGAGTTGGTCTGCCTTCTTAATGTTCGCTGTAAATCTCTCATACTTATTCTGCTGGAGATAGTATGTTATTATAGTTGATTAATATTTAACTTGAAGATAGAAGTCGCTCTTAAGTAAAAATCTGACTTAAAAATCATTTCTTCTAATAAAAGAGCAAAGACGTCGACTATTTAACCTAACTCAACTCAGATAATACCAGTCTTTGTCCCTAGCTGCTTGTGCTGTGATCACCTCTCTTACAAATAGTTATTTTAGTAGAGATAGTGCTTAGTAGTTTTCATTCTTCATTTATCATCCATTTTGATAACATGAACTATTTTTTATGTCTTAAAATTCTTTAATCAGTCTAACTTAGTGATAAAACTAGAGTCAGGAAATTTATCAGATCTGTGATCTGTCACTAACTTGCAGGATAATTATCACCAAAACGGTACTTGCTTTTTCTTCAGTTTTTCTACTTCCAGAGTTAGGAAGAAAGTACTATTAATGAAGTAGAAAGTTGTGTTTGTGCTAATTGGTTTCATTGTGAAAGAGAAAGAGTCTTTTAATATATGGTGGTGTTTATATGCTATAAATTTTGTGTTCTCTTAGTCTTATGATATAACTTCTTTGTAGACAGTGTATTTTAACTTTTAAAATGTTTTCTGGAACTTTGGGTTTTCAACTAGTCTTGTTTTTTAATTTTGTCTTCTAGCTTAAAGGAAATTAAATGTTCTTATAAATAAACTTTTAAAGATGAATGGTATTTCTTTCTGGTCAGTGTTTATTAGTGTGAAACATTTGAACCATTCCAGAAAAGATTGCTTCTTGGGTATTATTATGCACTAAAAGCAAAGATAAGCTGCCTTCCATAACCTCTTATAGGTAAAAAGAAAAGAGTCCATGTAGGTATTTGTCAACAGCCTAATTTTCTTCCTTTTTTTTTCTTCTCTTTTTTCTCTTTAGGGTTCTCTGTCAGACTTTCTTAAGGCTAATGTGGTCTCTTGGAACGAACTGTGTCATATTGCAGAAACCATGGCTAGAGGACTGGCGTATTTACATGAGGATATACCTGGCCTGAAAGATGGGCACAAACCTGCCATATCTCACAGGTAGCATTACATATATATTGTTTTCTCAAATAATTGAGTATGTTTTAAACTTTTAAACTTATTATTTAAAAGTTTTAACCCCTAAGTAAAATTTATTTTTTCTCTAGTTATGTAATCATGCTCTATAAGAAGATTTATTTTGATTTGTTTTTTAAATTAGCTTTGAGATTGGCCAGGAAATATTTTTGATAACGTATGTTAGCATCATTAATAAAGTTAGTTATCTACTTATGTAATTTTTTAATTTAATTTCTCAGAGTCTCTCCTTAATTATATCCCTTTATACTTATTTATAGTAATCTTTAGAGTAAAAGTAAGTGTGTTTTCTCTATCACAGAGCAAAAGAAAAATTTATTTTTCTTCAAAACATGATTTAAATATTATAAGTAGGCACAAAGGGATGTAATTAAAAGAGAGATTTTTAATATCTTCTCTGCTTGTTTTTCAAATGGCCATATGATCTTTTACCCTGAGCTAAGGTGTAGAGAACCATAATTTAAACAGTTGTTTATTAAAGAAATAATACTTAGATCTAACAACTGTTATACCCTCAAAAGGAAAAACGTTCCTTAGAAAAGGGATTCAGCTTGCCACGTATTTAATTTCCTTGAACATGAGATTCAGTTTGTTATCTTGTATTCAGTTTAAAGATGGTTGTATTTAAAGTGAGCATTCACTGATTCATTTAGTAAATATTTAGTTGAGTGCCACCATGTGGTATTTGAAGTTGCTGAGAGGTGTTTCTATAAATCACTTCTAATATAGATTCTAATTTTATAAATCAGTTGAGACAGGTGTAGAGGAGGAGGATGTCTTACTGCCTTAAAAATATTACCCTTCCAGGAACACCATGATCTAGCTAGAGTATGCTTATGGTAAGAAATAAGTTTTTATCTGTTACACATGCTGAGAGATGCTTCTCTACCACCAAGTGGGAAAATATAAGCACCACTACCAGGGACCATTCTAAAATGTAGATCTGTTCTAATGGGAAAAAGGCTTCAGTTAAGCTGTTTTTTGAAAATTCTTTCACTTTGACATTTTTGTTTGTTTCTATGGGAGTTTGTAACTAAAAACTCTAAAATATTATCTTAAAAAACAGCAATTTTATGATTAGTAGGTGGGAGTGACATAGACAAACATGCATTTTTGAAATAGCAGTTCTTTATAAAATGGCTTTCTGGAGAAAATTCTTTCTTACTGTCCATACTATGAATAGGAGTTTCTCACTGTTTTCTTGGGCTTCAGGCTACATAGGGCTTTTGCTCCTTCCCTCCTTTTCATCATTCATACTTTTAAATAATTATTCTTTTATAGTAAGAATAGAATATAATTATTCTTTTAGTCTTCATTTCCCTCTGTTAATAAAAAATTTTAAAAGATAACTCCTTTAAATGTATTTTAAATATTTTATCTTTCTATTTTCAAGGGACATCAAAAGTAAAAATGTACTATTGAAAAACAATCTGACAGCTTGTATTGCTGACTTTGGGTTGGCGTTAAAATTTGAGGCGGGCAAGTCTGCAGGTGATACTCATGGACAGGTAAGGATGATAATTTGTAAAATGTAAGAAAAAATAATAAGCTTGTCTCATGTTTTCTTAGAATGGTATGTCAGAATTGAATTGGTCTAAAATTGTTGTGGCTGTGAATAAGTATCTAATAAAGAGTTATATGTTAAATTTTCTGAGAAAGATTTTTATATGGTGCTAGAAGAGTCAGGGGGTTAGATTAAGCACTTCATAAATACTGTTAGATGTCATAGGATTCTTTTTAAAATACTGATCAAAGAAGAATCCAACACATAAATTCTTAGGAAGTCCTAAGTAGTAACTTGGTAGTTTTAATTTGTTGATTGTTTCACCATCTTAAGAGGAATGCAAAGGTAGTCAGTTGCTATTCTTGCTACTATATATTAAGACTCCTTTACCCATTTTCCAGGCAATTATAGTTTCTTGCTTCTTGCTCTTTATTGCTTCATTAACTCTTTCATCAACTTGATGGCTTTTCTCTGAATTCTTTCCAGAGTTCAGAGCACTTGTAAATCCTTGAGCAAGGTGTCTAACTCTGGGTAAGGTCTGCACAAAGAGATCTCAGCAGTGAGGAACCCTTAGGAAGGACAAAAGGGAAAAGAATATTATCCTCACATTTTATTTTCAGAAACTGTGAGGTGAAGAAATGTGTTCTTACTCCTACAAGATCACCTTCTAATCAAGAAAACCAGTTTGACCTGAAAGGTGACATTTTCTACAAAGATAAATAATTCAGGCTTCGTTATTATCATTTTATAATCTCTTAAATCATGTAAATTATTGGTCTCCTAATTCTTTGCTTTCTTTTTCTCAGTATGTTGTATTGATATTTTCAGAATGCAGTTTTAAACAGTCGTGACACAATTTTGGCAATATTCACTAGCAATTTAAGGATTTAGTTAAGGGTAATGGACAGCAGTCATATAGAAAAATTAACCCAGCTATATATGGGAATGGAGGCAGTTTGGTGGAGAATATTACTAAGATGGAGATTGTGTAAGAAGCCTAGGACAAACTTCTGAGCTAATTGAATGACTATCATAAGACTAAATTTTGGGAACACTATCATTCTTTAGTAAGATAAGTGACCTCTCCCCCCCTTTTTAAGAAAAAATTTGGGCCTCATTTATGTCATTTTTTAACTCTCTCACAGTTGAGTACATATAAAGGAGGTAATAATAACTACCCGCTGACTGTGCAGTGCTTTGACTTTAAATTGTATGGACTAGAAAGTTTCAAAAATATTTGGAGGAAACTGCAGATTGCACGTTTTATGTGTTGCAAAACAAAAGAAAACTTAGGACATTTTACACTAAAATAGTAGAATAACCATAATCTCGAATTAAAAGAGGTACCCTGCATGGCGTACACTTACCTTTAAGAGAAAAGTAGGTTTTTGAGAAATACTCATTTATCAATAATTAAAATTATTAGAGTAGCAAAAAACCTTGCTTTTTCCCCCTTTAACATATTCTCCTTATTACGTGAATGTCTTAAACTTTAGTCTCAATGATCTGTCCTTATTTTCTTAAACATCTCTTTTATACGTATGAATATTTATATATATTTGCCCAACTTCTAATTTCTAGAGATCATAATTATCTGAGGATGGGGCTTACTAGAAATACCAATATTTAGGATATTTCCTAGATCAACTAAAACTCAAGTATATTTGTGATCTACCAATCTGTTTCACTAATTTTTTAAGCTTTATACATGAATGCTATCAAATACCAACCAAACTCTACCAGTTTAGTAACATTAGTGACAGGTAATGAGAAATACCAAATTTGGGGGTATAGTTATAAATAAAGGACTGTAAGGCTGAAGGATTCATGAATAAATACATTGAATTTTTTTTTTTTTTTTTTAGAAATACAACTTTTAAAAAAGTCTATCCATCCTTTTTCTTGGGTGATTCATTATACAACACTTTCTAAGGTGTTTTTTTTTTTTTTAAATAGAAAAAGACCTCAAAAACTTTTTTTTTTAAAAAAAGATGCATTTCAAACAATATTTAAGGTACAATTGAAAAGTATCTGCATCATTCTTTTCTGCTGCTTCTTTCTCCAGCTAACAGTCATTGTAGTTTCCTGGGATTGTTTTGAGAAAGGGAAAATTAAGCCTAGCCCAATAATGTGTGTTGATACATTTTTTTAAGTATCATAAAGGGTCTTCCTGTATATACAGAGTGTCCCAAAGGTCATACATAAAGTCACCATGCATAGGGAAAATGGGAAATTGTAGCTAATTGTACCTTTATTTAGAAAATACTCGTTAAAAAATTTTACAAAATGTTTATAAAATATTCTGTATGTATTGGCCACCTCTTTGTAAAATTTTGTAATGAATATTTTATAAATAGAGGTATATTTAACTACAATTTCCCATTTTCCCTATGCATGGTAACTATGCACTGTCTCTGAGACACCCTGTACATTATAGTCTTGTGGTCTTAATTTAGTTACCTTACCCTGATGATAGACCACATTTGGTTTTGAGTATTTTTATAAAATATTAGTTCTTAAAGATAATAAATGAGTTTGCTTTCAACATGTTTTTCAGGTTGGTACCCGGAGGTATATGGCTCCAGAGGTATTAGAGGGTGCTATAAACTTCCAAAGAGATGCATTTTTGAGGATAGATATGTACGCCATGGGATTAGTCCTGTGGGAACTGGCTTCTCGCTGTACTGCTGCAGATGGTAAGGGAATAAATATATTAAAGATATATACGCATACTGCACATGTATGAAAAGGGATGATTATGTTCAAAGGCGATATCTTAAAGTACAAATTTTTTAATAGACCCCACGAGGTGGTAGAGAATTCAGAAGGCAGGGGAGCAGAGGGTGGGTCTTCAGTGAGCCTTTAGCATTGTTAGTTGCTTTGCTGGATACCTCACATATCTCCAGCTTATTTCCTGACAGTTTTGGAGCTAGTGGTTATCTTAGTTCTAAACATGAGAACATTGAGACTCAGAGAAGCTAAGTAGCTTGCCTCTTTTAGCAGACCAGCAAATGGTAAAACCTAGATTTGAAACTGATGTGAATATAAGGAGGGATCTGCAAGGAGGGGGCTGCTGCTTTGGTTGGATCTTGCTCCCCAGGTTCAAAAATCAAGTCTTGTGGAGAAGCATGTAGAGTGGGAGGGACTTTGCTCCAAGACATTCAGGTGGGGAGTCTTTCCAGCACTCAGCATGAACCTGACTAACCACATTAAACTTACAGTCTGTCCTCTTCAACATAGAGTGCGTTTAGATACACCAAAGGTTAAATTCCACTTACTTAAAGCTTTGAAGGTCTGACCTGCTGTAAACATCACTGTGACCATTAGTCACAGTCCCTAGCATAGCACCTTGGTACTAAAGAGTTCGGTGTTCTTGTTATTGTTTGAAGTCCATGTTGAAGAATTGTAAATATGTGCTGTTTGTTTATTTATTGGAGTAAATCTGCAGACTGTATTCCTGGTGTGACAAACCCGTGTTCTAGGAACTTTGTCTTTGGTGTTCCTTCATAAGGGCTCTGCTTTCCCTTTAAATAGGTTGCAGCACTTTTTTCATTTTTTGGATAATAAAAGGCAAACTTTTCTGACTGCTAAACTCCCAAGTAAATGTAAATGAGCTGGATTGATCTGTTTTTCAAATTTTAATTTATAATTATCTAAAAACTTCCTGTGATTATCAAAGACCATAGAAGAAATTTTGAATATTTAAAAAGGTATAACCAGCGTAACCTCTGTGTTACTGAGAGTATTTTACTTTCTGAGGACTGTAATAGGTTCTCAGTGTAGGGCAAACTGCCTCTGGAATATGAAATTTTATTTGGGTACTGTATTTTTAGTGGAAATTTAGTAGGGTGCTCAGAAATGGGTGGCCATTCTTTCTTCCAGGATTAGGGGTTTAGCTTGGGAGTTGATCCCAAACTTAAGAAAGGTTGAAGCAATTTGGGAATTAACTTTAGCTTATAAGTCTAGGAAGAAGAATAAGCTATTTGGAGTGTTTCAAGTCAAAGTAGAAGAGGAATTACCTTTATTATGTGCACTTATGGATGCAGGTCAAATGGTGAATGTTACAGGAAAATAAATTTCATAAGAACTTACATTAATATGAACTCTCCATAGCAAACCACTAGGTGGGGACACACAAGGCCTCGTTCTCAAGTAATGTGCATTTTATTTGAGATAACAAAACATACCCTGGATGATGAACTCTTACCTTGTCACTGCCTAGTACATAGGTAGTCCGTAAATGTTTTTGGATGAATGCAATACTTGAAAAATACAAGGATGTGATATGGGAGCTTAGGGGAAAAATAGCTGTTTGTAGTAAAGAGATATGTTACCATGGAAATGTTTTTGGGAAAATAAAGGGATAGAAGTTTACTTTTCTTACATGGTTAGTATGTGCTAAGAATTAATTACAGTTAGGCATTTCTGCTCTTGAGTCAGAAATTGGGACAGAGGGATAATGTGAACATTACTAAAGTGAGTGTTTATAAATTAGTGACAGCTAAATTCATTAATTCTCTAACTTCAGCGAGCATACCAAACTCCTGGAAATCTTGTTAAAATTCAGATTATGATCCAAGTAGGTCTGGGTTGAGGCTTGAGATTGTACACTCCTTACAAGCTACCAGTTGATAGCAAAGCTGCTGACCTGTGGACCATGTTGGTACTATGTCACTGGAAGTGCTCACGCAGAGGCTGACTGCCCAGCCAGCAAGCATTCTTACATTTGAGGAGGATGAAGTTAGATGATCCCTGTCGGAGTCCTGCCCTAGAGTAGGGTCCGCTAAGACCTGTGGGAACTGGCAGCATCCGACTGAAGAAACAGAGTTAGAAACAAAGGTAAAGAAAGAGACGTGAGACATAGAGTAAAATTAAAGGTGGGAGCTCAGGGGTCCATTGCCCTTGTGGGTTTCTGGCAATGGCCCAGAGTGTTTGCTCCACTCTGGTTTTATTGAAGTCTATTTGCCCAGAGGGTAAGATGAAGGAGGGAATAAAGAGGTCAGCAGTTTCTCTGACTGAGCATACCAGATCCTATTATTGTTATTATTAACCTTAAGGGTAGCCTTCAGAAATCTGAACTCCAAGCCTTGTATTGGGAGAGCCTCCCACTTGAGATCACACACACAGATTTCTAGGGAGGTGTTAAACTCCACTAGTTCCCTGTGGAGTAAATGCCACCAGTGTTAATCTCTGAGTAATCAGTGGGAAGGGAGGCATTTTCCTCCCATCACCACCACAGAGGACCTTCCTCTGCAATAAGGGATATAAGCTCTTCTGCCCATATCTCAGAGCTGGGGAGCTACTCCCTTTATCTCTGCCCCAGGCAAATGCAAATCTCTATAATAGGTATCTGTTTTGCCTGTTTAATGGGCAGGAAATGCCCTAGAAGATCTATCTTTTTCTAGGGCTTGCCACAGTCTCTTCTATGGTCATTATTTTCCTCAAGAGTGCTCACAGACCCAGCAGGGTGTTGGTAAGCTGCATCCCCAACAGGCTACCATTTCAGAAAAGGCAGGAAGCTTGCTAGCAATGGCTAGCTTAAATGTAAACTAGCTGACTTTTCTTTGTTTTGACTCACTCAGCTTTTTAATTTTCCTCTTTTTCTGGGGGTGCTTTCCCTTGTTAAGAATGGGGTCTTTGATCCCCATTCTCCCAGCAATCCCTTCATGATTCATTGTATTTTATTCGGCAATATTTGGTGAGTGTCAGGAACTTGCACAAGGTAACCACACATCTGGTCACTGAAATTGCTCAGTAGATTCTGTCAAGGGCAAACTATACAGTGATCGAAATCATAGACTTCAGTCATTCAGAGAGATTGATTCAAATTCCAGCTCTACCACTCTGCAGCTGTATGCTCGTGATACAAAATATTATATGTAACTTTTCTGAGTTTCTTTACATATGCACATCATATGTAAAATAGGTGCTTATTGAATATTAGCTATTCCTAATTGCGTTTTTCTGTTTAAAGAGGCCTAAAAATGAATTATTTATATTGTTAAGTAAATCTTGTTTGTCTGTGAAGGCACAGTCTGACTTATTGGAAACCGTGGAGAGTGTATGTTTGTGATTTTTTTAAAAGACTGACAGGTACTTCAGCTATTTTAAGAGGGCAGAGAAAAAAGTGATTCTGAGGTGCATAATTCCTCATGTGGGGCAAGCAGCAGGTTTGGGTATGGCGAAGAATAAAGATGCAACAGATTGAACCAAGAGTCTCTGTAAAGATGGAAACACTACTATAAGCATTCTGATCTGAATTGCAAGGAGTTGGGTACCTTAACTAAAAGGGGTATCCTTTATTTGCAAATATTGATTATTCCCTATGCTTCTGTATGCAGATAGATTAAAAAAGCTCCTTACAGAATCCTTAGCAGGGTTGTATCACAGACTTTTGATCTCCCATAAGTGAGAGTTTAGTCATGGCAAAGTACAGTCGTGGTACAAGTGCAAGTACAGTTGAGAATCTGTTTCTTGCCTCTCCTTATAGCATGTAAACAGTTGGGAAAAGGTGATAAGAGTAAAAGGTATATACCAGTTTGGAAGTCAGAAAGTTTTTAATTAAAATGTTTTCTTTTTTCTTTTTTTAATACATTTCAGGACCTGTAGATGAGTACATGTTGCCATTTGAGGAAGAAATTGGCCAGCATCCATCTCTTGAAGACATGCAGGAAGTTGTTGTGCATAAAAAAAAGAGGCCCGTTTTAAGAGATTATTGGCAGAAACATGCTGTAAGTTGCAGTTAGCTTTTCGTTTGAAATTCCAGTAAAACACTTCAGAATGACTTATTTCTGCACATTTATCTCTCTTCTGGGAGGATTTTCTGAGGGAAGTGATCTGGGCACAAGATAATCTGTGCTGGAATTCTAGAGGCAGAATTAGGCAATGTCTCTGAATCCCTGAGGGAGACTGTGAAGTCAGAGCTTTAGAAGGCTCTTGTCTTTTCCATGATCCTGAGCTTCCTTTTAGAAAGCTTCCCGGGTGATAGGAAGTCCTGATTCTGAGCCTGTGGATAGTTGAGCGTCTTTGCTGATTACCATCTTCCAGTATGATACTATTTTTAAAGGTTTATCAAGCACCAAGTTTTCTCCTCTCTGTGGGAATTTGTTTTAGCTTTTTGATTTGAGCTTCGAGTTTCAAGTACTTAAGACTTCTTTAAAACTAGACTAGGCAGAGGATAAGACATCACTGCCCTGGACTCTTTGGTTTTAAGGTAACCAGAAACATGGATAAAACCAAGGACTCTCTCAGATGGCTTCCTAATCCTCTAATTGCAAGATAGAAATGCTGATACATGAGAAAATGGTAAAAACTGGTAGAACCCTTTGAGCCTGACTTTTGAGCATAGCACATTTGGGTTTAGCATTTCAATGACTTGGTTTACAACAATGAATAGAGGTTTTTGAAATTAAAAACGAAATTCCTAATGATAGTCTCCAATGCTAAAAATAGATGGTTTTCTCTTAGTGCTTTTCTTCATGGTCCTGTGCATACTAAGTAAAATCGAATGTTGACAAACACATATCAGATTTGAATGACAAAAATAGCACTTTATGAAAATTTCATTCCATTTCCTTATAGAAAACAAAAATTGCTGTGGTGTTTGAATCTATTTTTCTGCTTTTAGGGAATGGCAATGCTCTGTGAAACGATAGAAGAATGTTGGGATCACGATGCAGAAGCCAGATTATCAGCTGGATGTGTAGGTGAAAGAATTACCCAGATGCAAAGACTAACAAATATTATTACCACAGAGGACATTGTAACAGTGGTCACAATGGTGACAAATGTTGACTTTCCTCCCAAAGAATCTAGTCTATGATGGTTGCACCATCTGTACACACTAAGAAATGGGACTCTGAACTGGAGCTGCTAAGCTCATGAAACTGCTTACAGTTTGTTTTCTGTGTGAAATGAGTAGCATGTCTCCTGGAAATGTCAGAAGACCTTTGTTGAAAACGTGGCTCCTGGAGACTTACTGCGTTGCCTACAGCACAGATGTGAAGGACATGGGACTAAGAGAAAAGTTGCAAACTCTATAAAGAAACTTTTGAAAAAGTATATGCGAAGAATGTGGCCCTCTCCAATCAAGGACCTTTTGGACCTGGCTAATGGAGTGTTTGAAAACGGACATCAGATTTCTTAATGTCTGTCAGAAGACACTAATTCCTTAAATGAACTACTGCTATTTTTTTTTTAAATCAAAAACTTTTCATTTCAGATTTTAAAAAAAGGGTAACTTGTTTTTATTGCATTTGCTGTTGTTGTTTCTCTAAATGACTATTGTAATGCCAATATGACACAGCTTGTGAATGTTCAGTGTGCTGCTGTTCTGTGTACATAGACAACGTCATCAAAGTGGGGTACAGTAAAGAGGCTTCCAAGCATTACTTTAACCTCCCTCAACAAGGTATACCTCAGTTCCACGGTTGCTAAATTATAAAATTGAAAACACTAACAGAAATTGAATAATAAATTGATCGATGTTTTATAAGAAATTCACTGTGTTATTTAAAGAAAAAAGGTAAGCTATGCTTAGTGCCAATAGTAAGTGGCCATTCGTAAAGCAGTGTTTTAGTTTATCTTGTGCTGGCTTGTAATTTTGAAAAAAAAAGTGCTGTTTTTTGAAATGAAAAGATGGTATCATTTCCCCCTTCTTCCTATGTTTTAAAGCTCCATATTATATCTAGTTCCCAAAATATTGCATACTTACCTAAGTATTTTTTTTTAGGTGTGCTGTGTTTGGGGAATATTTGAAAACTGAAAGCATGATTTAAATTTTTTTAAGTGAGCTGTGACACTGGAAAGCTCTTCATTTTATCTTTGAAAATAGATTTTTTTCTATTTATATATGTAAAATTGTAGTGTATTTCTTTCACTTAACTGTGTGGGACATTCTTTATCACTGATTTAGGATCACCTCAGGAAGTGTCATGACCCAGAGTTCCTCACTCTCTGCTTGGAGACTTTTAACTTTCACTATACTTATGCTCGGTGCCATCTTGTCAGAGTAATATTTGATGTCTGTGATATATAAAGAATTATCCTAGGATAGAGATAGTAAACTTTTAAGCACAGATTTCAGATGTTACTGCTTTAAAACAAATCAGGGATAACAAGTCAAACTCACAACTTAAAATATGCAATGGCATTTAGAGGTAACCAATGTTGATGTAGGTAACATAGCCTAGCTTCCTCCCCTAAATTTCTCTCACAACTCTGATAGTAATTTAGGATAGTTCATGCCTTATCCTTGCTAAGAAAATTGAATTGATGGTAGGAAGGTGCCAAAGTGTTTTTCAAAACAATATTACATTACAATTACAATTGGATTCTTCTTCCACTTAATATAGGCTAGGGTAAAACATTAACTTTCAGATTCTTGAATTTCCAGATTCCTAACCAACAAACAGCCAGTATTATGCTATGTACTTCTGTCAGGTCATTTTAAAATGCATACGTTAACTTTATCAGGAGCTCACTGTGAGCGTGTTCTTGAACTACACAGTACACCACACTTTACATGGAATACACACCTCATCTCTGGGAATAATCAATTATGTTATTTATAAAACATAGGTCAACAGGCTCTAAGCAGGGTGCAGGGGTGGAGGGAAGAAGAGGAATAGCATTCTTGTCTGTGTGCCACACACCATAAGAATGGTTTGTGGTCTTGGTCACATACGTACCCAAGGTCTCATTGTATTCCTAGTAATTCCCATTTCAATGCTGAGTTCACCTCTTTATTTCAAAAAATACTTGGCATCTCAACTTCTTGATTTGGTTTTGCTTCTGTTTTGAAACTAATCAAGAAGGGAAAATATTGAGAATGTGTATACAAGAAAAATCTGAAGATGAATCTACCTGTTGTAAACATTAAACTGCCTAAAAGTTACAAAAAAGTCAGAATGAAAATAAACAGGGATATGATGATAAATGTTTGGCTTACATGAGCACTAGAGATAAATTTTATGAAACCAGTTATTTACAAATAAAATGCTTTCTCTTCAAGTTAGGAAAAACTCTTCTAGAAATGCTGGGTATTGTACTTAACTGTAACCAATTTTAAAACTTGTATCCTTTTTAAAACCATATTAATAGAAAAACTTTTTATAAGCAGTAAAGTAAGAATGTTCCAGTGACTACCTGTCCTTATACTTAGTCTTGTTAACTCTTTTGCAGGGTATTTAGTGTTTGGTTTACAGTCAAGTGCAGAGTGGGCAAGTTCAAAAGTTTGAGCTAAGGATACTGGCAAAAAGAAAAGATCAAACTTTGAGAAAAACGGTGATTTGTTTTGGGGTAGACACCCCAATAACTTTTTCCTCATGTGTATGGTGCTCCTCATGATTCATCTTGTATTTTGCCTTTCTGATGCCCATCAGAACTGCTGCTCTAACTTACACTCTTCACCTTGCCCAGATCTCCTTGTAAGGAATGTTTTATGATCAACTGCCATAGGACTGATGGATTAACCAGTGTTTGGCTTTATTCAAAGTCTATGCCCTGCACAGCTCTTGTATGTATTTTAGATAGAAAGTTTTTTAGCATGTCATGTGTGATTCTCGTCTGAATGTTTATTACAGGTACCTTGTGAATTCCAGAACAGAGACTGTGCCTCACAATTATTGGTCCCATGAACTTGCACTATCTTTCATGGTGATGCTTTGAAACTACAATCAGGAAAAACAACACAAGAAACAAAAACCCGACACTTTTGAATCTCTTCTGCCCCATGTCCTCACCCCTAAGTAACAGCTGCAAGTAAAATGCAGGTGGCAGAGAATAATCCCTGGCCAGATGATAGCTTAGTGGAATAAACTGGTTACTTTTTTTTAAAAAATGCTTCATTGAAGGTATTTTCCAGTTTTCTTTTTTACTTTTTTAAAAAAAATTACTTTTAGAAACATTTGGTATGTGCATAAAATTAACAATTTACTGGCAAAATGATATAAGTAGCATCTTGACTGAACATCATTTACCTCAGATACTCAACCAGCAGTAAGTTTTTTACGCAGTCTCAACCCACATCCTATTGTTACCTCTCAAAGTTATTGGTAAGCAATTATTTTAGCTTTACTCTGTATTTCTTGTCAGTGTTTTGGGCACAGGTTGTTGTACTACTGTCAAATCGTACTTGCTTTTTTTTTCTGCAAGTATTTAACAGAAAGGTAAAAAAAAAAAAAAAAATCCCCATAAAACCACCTTGGATAAGTGATTGTTAAATATTGTATAAATTGTATGCTATCCCCATTCCATCCCCAAGTTAAATAAAAAAATGAATATGGTATTATTTGCATATGCAGTTTTTCTTTAGCTTTATGTTTTTCTGAAAGAGGGGAATAGTAGCTTTGTAATTTATAATGAGGCTTATACCTTGCTGTATGGAAGAATGGGGATAGTGCTGAAAGAAGTGAGATCTGTCTATTCTGGCATTCCCCTCCTTTGTTGGCTAAGCAGATGACATTCCCACCCAAGCATGTATGCTGGTGCTGCCAATATTAGGAAGCCAGAGGCCAGTGGCATTGTGTCACCGTTCAACAGATTCTCAGATTTTTTAGGGTAAAGGTAAAGAAGGGCAGCACTTCAGATTATGGAGGTTTGAAAGAACCTGCTTTGCTTTCTAAACCAAATGAAAAGGCAGACTACAATGGCATATGCATGGAATCTATAGAAAGACTGAACTGTTTTCTACAGCATGTTCCACAAAGCACGGATCCTTTAGAAAGTTAAATACTATGTTTTCAACATATGTACCATTATGGTACAGAGTGTTTGGACCAAACAGTTTTAATCCCCAGAACCATTCACATGCCTGTGCATCAGAGAGGTCTTTTTAACAAGATTTGTTTCTAGTAGACCACAGAAGAGGAGAGAAAACAGGAGTGAAAACTACACTGAAGTAATAACTTCTCTTCACTGGATTTTCAATCTGATAATCCAGGCCAGTGCATGAGTTTTAGTTTTTTGCTATAATATTTGTCCTTCTCTAGTAAATGAAAGAAAAATACATTTCTATCATGCTTATTAGTTTACATTATTCTTGGACTTTTATTTTTTTTTAACTAGGGCTTTCCAGATTTGGTTTTGTATTTTAGTGATGATGATTAAGCACTTTCAGAGATGAAGTTAGTTTGAAAACTTAGCAAACAAATTCTAGCTTCTTTGTATTAGGGAATGTGGAAAGGTGAACATCAACACTCACCCTCCCAAGCAGAATGCCTTGGGATCAGAGGCATTTACTTTGCTTGCTTTGTATGACTTGCTAACCTATTTTTCCCAATTTGCTTTACAACTCTTTCATGTTTACCTCAATTACTGCAAAAGAAAACCTACCTTGGGACACTTAGTTTTTAATCTGTATACCTGGGTTATTTATGGACCGTCTACAGTTCTTACGTAGCCAGGGAGGCGGAAGAGGACTTTCACTTTTAAGTAGCATCGTAAGCTAAGAAAAATTTTCAAGCCTTAGGTCATTTCATGAGGCTATTACCCTTTGTGGCAGACAATAGTTGACTAAAACAGTTGAGATTTTTCTTTTAAAGGGACAATTAAACTCAAGAGTAAAATCCTTAGTGCCAGTAATGGTAGTGATGCCACCATAGTAAGTATTTTGGTAAAATATCTCCTACAAGTGAGCAGATACACGCATAGAACCGGTATGTAAGCCTCAACCTTAGTAAGACTGGTAAATGACAGTCATCTGAAGACCTAGAAGGATTTTCTTTTGGGGGGGCATTGGGAAGATAGGCTTTCTTTTTCTTTTTTGGGGGGGTAGATAGGCTTTATATGTGAAAGAGCAAGTTATGGCCAGGTGCAGTGGCTTCCGCCTGTAATCTAGCAATTTGGGAGGCCAAGGCAGGTAGATTGCCTGAGTTCAGGACTTTGAGACCAGCCTGAGTAAGAGCAAGTAGCTGTCTCTACTAAAAAGCAGAAAAACTAGCCAGGCATGGTGGCGGGCATCTGTCGTCCCAGCTACTCAGGAGGCTAAAGCAAGGGGACTGCTTTAACTCAGAGTTTGAGGTTGCTGTGAGCTATGATGCCCTGGCACTCTACCAGGGTACAGTATATATACTATATATATAACCTGTATAAAATGTTACCATACTGAATACTAGAGGCAACAGTAATGTAAGTGTATTTGTTTACATAAAGAAAAAGCATAGTACTTCAGGCCCACCCTTGTATATATGTGATCTGTCATTGACCAAAATGTCATTAGATGAGGCATGACTGTACTTGTTAAAAGGCAAATTCTGATCCTTTTTAGTGAAGTAGGCTGAGGAATCCATATTTTAAGACAATCCTACAAGGGACTGTGATATTCTACATTTTGATTAGTCTAGGAAAAAAAATCTTTAAACTCCTTGGTCTTTTTCCTCCATGTGGAGCATTCTCTGTCTAACTTTGTCAGTCTCCTGTACTAGAAGTCTGGGGTCTGGATAGAATCTGCGTGTGTATAGGAAAAAAAAAAAAATGAAGCAGTCCTAATGGACCAAAAGATTATTTACTTATTATACCTCAGTTCTTAACACTGTTTTTTATCATGTTGGTTTAAGGTTTATAAAAACATTTAGCTGCTAGGTTGAAATGAACTCTTCAAATGGACCATATAAACACTTGACAAGTATTAAATACGCATACGGCTCAAACCCTAAAAAAGTCACATTTTATTGTTTTGAACTGCTACTCACAACTTAACCCAAATCAATATATGAATTTATAAATTGTGTAACTGGTAGATTCAAAGGCAAGACACAGCGAAGATAGTACATGTGCGAATCTCCCATAAATACAAAAATGTTTATAAATATTAGAATATGTAATAACCCATCTAGTTAAAGGGTAATAGTTTTTAGTTCTCTAGAAGTATGCCTGAAATGCCAAAATTGAATTCACTGGTTATACTCAGAACCAGCTTAGTGAGGATGCTGCCCACTGCCTAACATCTGTAGGACAGTTGGGGTATTTCTGCAGAGCATTCATAATTTGGGTATTATCCAAAAGTAGTTTCATCAGCTGGTATTCTCTCTGTGAATTTCCTGAAGTTCTTTCCATGGGCTTTATTAACTCTAATTGTTGTAAATGTTCAAAAGCCTGAAAAATGAAAGAAATACTTTAGGTGGCACAGGGGAAGAAAGTGACAAAGTTAACTCACAGTACAGTTACAGTTTTGGTCAGTTGTAGAACAGAGTGCTAGAAACAAAACGTAATAGAAATCAACAAGGCTGAAAAACAACTCTACTACGTAAAAACTTACGAAGTAAAACTGTATAGTTATCTTGTTCATGCACTGTTGAATGCAAACAGGGCAAATGTTAATCCAGTCTGCACAATATTGTTTTCTTCCTAATCTTCCTTTAAGACTGTTTTTAAAAAGGGTTTCCAGTTTTCTTAAGAATCAGGTAAGACGTAAGACCGCTTGGATGATTACCCAGGTTACTCAAATTTGCACTTACATTTTGTCTCTACCTCTGTAAGACTTTGCTGTGTAAGTTTAACACAATGTTAACAAAAGGGCAGGCAGAAAAAGACCTCTGAGGAAACTGGAACTATTCAACTGATTCTGCAAATAATTAATTGAGCAAGGTAGTAGGGACATGAAAGAGAAAGATAGGCTCCTATTCCTCTAAGACTGACTGAGACTGTCACAACCTGTCAATAAGCTCCCCATCACTGATACACTAAAATAGATTCCTGAGCATTCTTACAGCCACTGTGAAAAACATCACTGACCTACACTGTATTCTCTAAGCATTATAAAAATTCTGATGAAAAAAAAGCTCAGATATCATTCATTTCCAAATGAGAAAATACTAGAGACTGCAAGTGTTGGGGCTGAATGAAATTAAGGAAATTTCTAGGCAGTAAAATATTTCCTTATTGAAAATATTGAAGTGAGTAGCTATGAAGACATCACAAGAATTTAAATGGTTAGATAACCTTTCCATTTACACAACTCCCACAAACTATGACTATCAGACAGACATGGTATTGGGGAAGAAACCTGCAGGATGTGAAATACTTATTTTGTTTCTTTGAAGTGACAGTGCTCTAAGCTTCTACTTTATTCATTGCTACAAGTAACAAAATTCTGACTACTATGGCCTATAGGGATACCTAAAGATTTAGGGGTCTACTGCTTTAATAAAAAGTTTCTCCCCGTAAAATCTAGAACTTCTGTCCATACCAGGCTATTAAACATTGAAATGTGGAACTCAATCTTTAATTTTACCTAATTTTAAATTCAAACTTAAAAACTAATACTGGATCCACTTAGAATCTATAATCATACAGAATGTTATAATGAAGTACTTTCCTTTACTTTCTTTTGTATTAAGTCTTTGAAATTAGATGTGTATTTATTTATAGCACATCTAAATTCACTAAATACACATTTGGAAATACTTGTTCAGTTCCATAAAATTTATAGCAAAAAATATTTTACATTTTGAAATAATTCCAAATATACTTAAAATTTTCTGACATATTTTTGATATCTGAAGTTAAAGATATGATTAAAATTAATTTCACTTTTTCTTTTTTACTTTTGTATGGCTACTAGAAAATCTGAAACTACATTATGTGGCTTCAAGGGTTTTTCTAGTGGACAATAGTACCCTAAAATAAAAGTCCTCAACTTTTAAAATTCATGCCTCACCAGTCCCCAAACCTTCTCTACATGCCCTTACAGGCCAATGAGATTTTTTCCTTTAGTGTGTTAACCTGCATTTTTGTCTCTTTTTACTGCTGAGATAGAAAACCAGCCCTTGTGTAGGAAACAGATAGGGTTGTATCAATGGGTTTGACAGACTGTGGTACTAAATTCTTTTCAGCATGCAAATGCTAAGAACAGACAGCAGAGGGCAGTATACCCCCACAAACTGTAAACATAGAATTGGTTGCCTCCTTAGTTTTATTAAAATATTTCCTTTTTAGATAATTTGTCTGTTTTGAAAAAAAAAAAATCCCTGTTTAAAAAAATTAATGAAAATACAACTTAGGTATATATAATCAAATTGGATATAAAAAATATACTTATCTACATAAAAATAAAAGCAAACTAAATCTTACCTTCATGACAACAGGTTTCTCAAAATTGTAAACAGAATGGGCCTTCCTTTGAACAAACTTCTGAAACTCTGGACAGAAAGCAATGATAACGTTAGTTCCGCAAATAAGCAGGAGGAGAGAGTCAGAAAGAAACTACCAAAGCCTCATCTTACCATTATAGACCATTTGAAAATTAAATGGCTCCTCTTCATAGATGTCATTTAAATGTTTCATTGCT